CCCCTGTAGGGCTATGAGTCAGTGAGGGATGTCGTGTCTCATAGTGGGGCCAGCCATATGGTCCTCTTTGTGGATTTACTGCTCTTAGCAGGAATATCGTCCTCAAGGCTTGCTGGGTCAGGATGTGCTCCACTCTCTTCCTCCCCTTTCATTTGCTCCCATATGCTCTGATCAGGCATGCCCCTCTCCCGGAGCTGCAGATTCAGTGCTGTCTTCTGAAATAAATTCTTCTGGGGGGAGTGTTGAATAGATTCTAATGCATATAGGTTAGCACTCTCCCAATGATTCATGATAATTTAAAAACAAGAAATACTTCGCATAATAGTGTGAATAAGGACTCCCACTATGATATTGAGTCTTTGAATAATTTTCCAAAATCTTCTAAATTCCCTTTGCTTTGTACCATTTTAAAAGAGTATCTTTGTATCTCTGTGGTGCAGAGCTTTTCTGTGACAGATCTGCTTTTGACGTCACATGGTGTTGTAACTGTATGTACACGTAGTAGTTATGAATTTGCTTTAAACCTATCTAAAGTTCACTAGCATCACTAGTGATTTGGTAAGAGAAAACATTGCATTTTTATTCTCATAATGTGTTCCAAAGTAACTTTTGTATTTAGTAAAACTTCTTTAAAATTCTGATCTCTTCTTGCAGGGTTCATGCTTGAACCAGATCCAGAACATAGACCTGATATCTTTCAAGTGTCCTATTTTGCATTTAAATTTGCCAAAAAGGATTGCCCAGTCTCCAACATCAACGTAAGTGATTTTCTAAGTAGAATGTGAATTTAAAATTCAGAGTTACACCAGCATCATGACAAAGAATTTCACTGTGTGCTTGTGCTTAGTTTTTGGCACCGGGCTGGCAGTGGATGGAGACTAATACTCCCATCCCCAAACAGTGCACTGAAATGCCTGAGAACTATAGGTATGGTGACAGCTATCTTACACTGCATGAACGATTACTATTAAGTTGTTTGAACCTAAACAATTAATATACCGGGCTTCTAGATTTAAAAAAATATTTTTTTGCTTAGTTGTGCTAAGGGGCATTATTGAGACACTAGGTGCCCTGTGAACAGAGAAGTTGGGGAACCTTTGGTGTAAAGTGTGCATGGTAAGAGGAAAAAACTTAGGCTCAGTTCTGTCATTAGTTAAGGGTGATTTTTTAACGTTGGGGAAGTTACTTTATCTAGATTTCCATTTCTGTAAAACATAAGTAGTAATGGAGGATGAAAATAATGCAAAGCCCAATGTATAGTTCACAAAAGATGCTCAGTTTGCAATAGCTACTATCATTTGAAGCCTTTGACTCATACTCAGTTTTTTAACTACCTCTGATGAACTGTATGTGGCCAGTCTCCCCAGATTTCAATAAGGGTTGTTACTTGTTTAAAGGCATTCTCAACATTATAAAAGGCATGCTAATCGGATTTGCTCTTATAGGCTTTCCTGCGTGTGATCTAACCCAGGGCACTAAGAAAAAAGGCGGATGGTGGCATGTTGGCTTTTCATTGACCATTTCAGTGTAATATTTTTGGCATTCGTGATTTGCAGTCTTAACATTTTCGTAATGGAAGTTTCTTTATTCATCATGTAACTGTGGGTTTTTACCGAACATTTATTGAGTACCTTTTATGAGAAAAAACACTAGGGCCTAACAGAGGAGTAAGACCTTCAGCACTGGTTTCTTGACCCGTTCAGGCGGTGTCGTGACAGTTGTCTGCAATGTTGAGAAACCGTAGTTTATTCGTATGCAAGCTGCTTGCTTACCGCCACCCAGAGTGTGAAGTAGTCATCGATTTTATAAGTGCAGTATTTTTTCACCCAAGATTCCTTCATTTGTAAAGTGGATACAGTGACATTTTTTTTCTTCTATGTATTTAGCAAGGGTTTCTGTGGAGTTTGAAGGTGGAAGTGACACTTGTATGACACGCAGCGATATTGCAGATTAGACCTGGCATCTTTGACAATTTATAGGTACCTAAGGTGAAACTGCAAGGTCAGCAATTTGAAACCACCAGCTTCCCCTTGACAAAGAGACAGGACTCTCTACTCTTGTAAAGAGTTTTAGTCTCAAAAATTCACAGGGGTAGCTCTATTCTGTCCTGTAGGGTCACTGAGATGGTATCGACTTGATGGCAGTGAGCTTGATTTTTTGAGAAGGTGAAAATGATAGTTATGTCTTACAGACTGTACTTTCAAAGTTCAAGAATATATTCACATCTTTAGAAAACACTTTCTGTAATTAAAACGACTAAAATAAAGTTTTTTTTCCTTCCAAGAATTCATCGATTCCTTCAACTCTTCCTGAACCGATGACTGCTAGTGAAGCAGCTGCTAGGAAAAGCCACATAAAAGCCAGGTAGGCAAAGCTAGCCTGGCATTTATACGGACATTAAAAAAAATGGTGCTCATATTTAATCCTAACAAATGTTATTGATTAGCCATTATTCCCAGCTACAAAGTGTAATTCTTACAGCATGGAGTACGGAGTTTAAATAACAAGGTCAAAATAAACAATATGGAGACAGGATTTGACCTAGTCCCACGTGGACTGCTGCGTTGTGGCAGTAAATCAGGAACTGCTTAACTGCTGGTGTCACAGTGGACCTCTGTATTGGGAGAAGGCTGTCATCATTTTCATCACATGGCAAATCTGATTTGTGAAACTTGTCTGTTTTTACTTACAGCATGGCTTTGAGTTGGTTCCTCTCAGTTTAGTCGTAGCTGACAAAACTACACCGGGATGGGCCTACATTGTGGGTGAAACAGAACAATAACCAGAAGGGGAAGTATTACAGGCCATCATTTGTTAGAAACTGAATCGCCCTTTTAGAAATCAAGGGCACCATGCACATTGTATAGCAATCAAATTCTGGACTGCCAGAGTAGGAAGTAGCAGTGTCCAGCTCAGGTGTTGGCTTTCAGCACAGTTTTGAATATGTGTTGCTCTGCACAGTTCTGGCAGTGAGCCAGTCTCCTCCATCCTACTCGTGAGGGGCTCACTAGGCTCACTCACTGTGTCTCTTCTGAGTCTCTTCTTTAGGATTAACCCATCATTTTTCCCATTCTGGTTATTGCTCCACTTCACTCAAATTTAAACAATTCGCTCGCATCTGTTGTGATTTCACTCTGCCATCCATGACTGAACCTGTTCGTATTGGTTTGAAGGACTGATCGATTGCTAGTATGGTGTGTGTGTGTGTGTGTGTGTGTGTGTAAAAGCCATGCAAAGTAAAAATAACTCAGGTAAAATTATTCTAGAGTATTTAGAATGCCTGTATACTGTGCAGAATTTATGATGAAAGGTTATCACAATATTTTTTAATGACTATTAAACATTATAATGTTTTACATCGTATTTTTCATAGTTAATTTATGGAATTCTTGACCATGCTTGCTTTTATTGTGTTATATTTTATTCTCTTTTGGCAAATGTACTACATCTTCCTATATATACTATAATTTCTCTGAACACAGAGACGTGTTTGTACACTCCATATTTTTCAGATTCTTGTGCAGTGTCCTGCTGGTAAACAAAGAGATGTAAGCTCATGCACTTTGTGAATCTCTTGAGTCACTTACTGCATGAAAAAGGAAAAAAAGGCCAGTGTGGCCTGTAGACCCACCCTATAAAGCAGGCGTCCTCAAACTACGGCCCGCGGGCCACATGCGGCCCACTGAGGACATTTATCCGGCCCACCGGGTGTTTTTGCCCTGTTTTGTTTTTTTACTTCAGAATAAGGTATGTGCAGTGTGCATAGGAATTTGTTCATAGTTGTTGTTTTCTTTTAAACTATAGTCCGGCCCTCCAACGGGTCTGAGGGACAGTGAATTGGCCCCTGTTTAAAAAGTTTGAGGACCCCTGCTATAAAGAGTGGATATGTAAGTGGGAATATTGAACACAGTATTCCCCTCAGTCATTTAGGTTGAGTAATGCAGTATTGGATTTGCTGTCACATCCATAATTTGAATTCAAGAAATAATTCTTAAAATAAATAATAGGTATATACATCCATGATTTTTAAATTTTTCAGTTTTATTTTCTTATGACTTTACCATCTTTATCCCATCTTCTTCCTGAATAATTCTTTTAAAAAATATACATGGAATACATTTCCACAATTTTTCTAAAACCTTTTGATTTGATTTCAATTCCTTTCTATTTGGAAAGGTAGCTATTAGCAGGACTCCCTCTAGTGGTACATTAGGAAAGAGTTGTAGATTTGTGTAGTGGTAGCTTTGCTTGAAAGTAAACAAGCGGCCATCTAGCCCAGAAGCAACAAAGCCCACATGGAAGCAGCACACCAACATGTGTGATCATGAAGGGCCAAAGGG